CTGGGTGCTGTCCCTCAGCTCTTCAGCTCAAGGCTAGCGCTCTACCACTTGAGCCACAGTGCCACTTCCGGCTTTTTTCTTTTTGCTTATGTGGCTGAGGAATCGAACCCAGGGCGTCAGGCATGCAAGGCAAGCACTCTACCACTGAGCCACCTTCCCAGCCACTTGGACTTACATTTTATTTAGAGTAACATTCTAGTCATCATTGTTACCTTTGGTTGGCCATGTGATGCAGTCTCTTACTGCTTTTTTTTTTTTTAAAGCACATTGTAGCTATCCTTTTGGTTTGTACATTCTAGTCTCACTATCCTTCTTTCTGGTCCTCATCAATGGTCTGAAGTTGTATTTCCCATCACCTGGAAGGGTAGCTTATCGCTTCTTTCAAGGCTATGTAAAGATTTTTAAAAAGTATGCAATGTCTGAATTAAACATGATTTGGTATGAATTGCTCAAATACCTCTCAGTGTTAATTAATATTGAAAGATGGTCTAAATATGGACTTAGAAGGCCCAGCTTACAATTTTGACTAAATATGGACTGTTCTGAGGTGATTCACCTGTCTTCCATTAATTCTCTCAATCAGCTCAGTGTCAGGTTCTAGAGTGAAAAAGGTGGCTAAATGTAGCCTCTTCCATTATATGTTGGCTGTATGTTCTTGATAATATTATGTAATTACATATGTAGTATGCATTTCACAGCTTTGTTGTGAGGCTCAAATGAGTCACTATGTGAAAACTGTGTAGCACAGAGCAACTCCTCACATTATCTGTGATTATGAGCATTTAGTTTGCAGGAAGAGCAGAGACATGTAAGCAAACAACTCCAATACTGTGCAGTAAGAACAAACTGTCATCAATTAGCAGAACCGTAGTCTTAAATGGGTGGCTGCAACTTATAATTTCAACACTGATCAAGAAATTCTAAAATCCTGTTAGGTCTACAAACACCCAACTCCCTACCACTAGTTCTGTAACAACTGGAAATTATCTCTGCTTACTTGATAACCTGAATTTAAGAATTCTTTATTTTTTTTGTTGGCCGTGGGGCTTGAACTCTGGGCCTGGGCGCTGTCCCTCAGCTCTACAGCTCAAGGCTAGCACTCTACCACTTGAGCCACAGCGGTACTCCCAGTTTTCTAGTGGTTTATTGGAGATGAGTCTCTTAGACATTCCCACCCGGGCTGGCTTTGAACCCTGATCTCAGATCTCAGCCTCCTGAGTTGCAAGGATTACAAGCGTGAGCCACTGGTGCCCGGTTAAAACTTTTTTTTAAGTATAAGGGCTTAAGAGTCTCAAATAACAGGAGCTTTGGGAAGGGAAAGAAGGGTGTTAATCCCTGAATGGAAAACAAAATTAGGAGCCAAGGGCCTAAAGACGTGTTTCATGAAGACGGCGTGGTCACAGACTAGAAATCAGATCTGCCCACTAACGGTGGTCCCGCGGCTGATTAGGAGGTCACCAGGTGAGGTAAAAGGGGTCATTCTGGGTGGAGGCGCGAAAAGGACACGTGGGTGTCTTGAAAGAACCAAAACTCAGCTTTCAGGAGGGGCGACCAGAGAGCAGGTCACATATGGAGGCTGACTGCGGGCTCGGGCCAACCAGCTGAGGGAGGAAGCCCCCCTCCCATGCCCAGATTAGGACCTCTTAGTCTCGGGGACCCCTCGGGGTTTCCCTCTGAGCGCTTCCAGCAGCTGGACTCCCTCTGGCTCCCGCCACGCTTCCCTTACCTCGTTTTCCCGTTTACTCCCCTCACTCTCCCGCCTCCTGGGCCCCGCCGGAAGTGACGCACTAAGCGGCGCGCCGTACCTCGCGCGAGAAAGGTTCCGCGGGAGCGGGAGAAAGGGTCGCGAGGAGGCTCACTGCGCAGGCGCGCGGGTACGGGCGCTCAAAGCGCCTTCCAGGGCTTTGGAGGACTGGTCCGATTCCCGAGGTTTGTCTGGGTGGAATACGCTTGCTCGTGATTCCGAGAGGCCGCTGCCTCCACAGGAACGTTTTCCCTACAGTTTTGAGGCCTCACAGGGGGGAACCTAGAAACTCTGGCTCTTGTCCTTTGACCCCGCTCTCGCGGCGGGGTGAGAGGTCGGGTGGCCATCTTGTGGCGGCGGCGCGGGCGGCTGTTACCGCGGAGATCCATCCCTGCCCCCTCCGCTCACCCCCCGCCCCCCGCTGTCTGTCAGTCAGTCAGCAGAGCGTCCCGCCGTCCGTCAGGTGAGGCCTGGGCCGGGTGCGGTCGTTCTTCCCGTCGCACCGGGTGGCCCCCAGGCCGCTCCCTGCCGGGCTGCACCCACCGCTCCGCCACTATGTCCTCCTTCTCCGAGTCGGCGCTGGAGAAGAAGCTCTCGGAGCTGAGCAACTCGCAGCAGAGCGTGCAGACCCTGTCCCTGTGGCTCATCCACCACCGCAAGCACGCGGGACCCATCGTGTCCGTGTGGCACCGCGAGCTGCGCAAAGGTACGTCCCCCCGTCCTCCTCCGCCCCCTCCCCTTGGGTCAGTGCACCCACCCTCTCCTCAGTTCCCCGGCTTTGTAATGGAGCCTTGCTTGGAAGGTGTAGGTCTCTTTGGTCGAGTTTCTGAGATTCGAGACGACTTTACAACCTCTACCCCCACTCCCCCTCCCCCAATATTCCTGAGTAGGAAGGTGTTAAGGTATTTGATCTAGCGACTCAGGGCTCAGACTTTTCTTTTGTCAAGTTACCTTTCCCTCGGGCTTTTTTTGACTTTTGCTGCTTTTACGATCTCGGCTGCATTCAGTGTCTTAGACTGTTGTATGCTAGGCCCTGTCCTGGGCATTTTGGAGTAAGAGCCTTGTAGGCTCTGGTCACACTGCTGGGTCTAGTCCTGGCTCAACTACTTACTAGCTGTGTGATAACCAAGTTTCGCATTGCCCCGTGCCTCTGTTTTCTCATCTGTAAAACGGAGACCAGAAAAGCTGCCAACAAAGACTTTGCTTCTTGCCCATCAGTGTGCTTAGACCTTTGTGTAGGTCTGTACACTTAGCCCTCAGGACAGTAGCCTCATATACCTGCTTTACTTACAAGCTGTACTCAGGATCTGACATTCATTGAGCTCAGCCTATTAGTGCCAAGCTTAGTGTTGGACCCTTAAGAGCACCTTGTCTCTTGAAAATTATGCTGACTTTGCCATTTATCTCAGCAACTTAAGCTGGCTGTCCCTTAGTTTCTTTCTGTCCAAAATGGAAATGGTGGTAACTGATATTTACTGTGCCTTTGCTATGTGCCAGGCGCCTAAGAACTTTACACACTTGGGTTTAATTTCTTAAATGCTCAGAGTCTTTCCAAGTAAGAACTTTACAGGTGGGGAAAACTTGAGTCTCAAATAAAACAGATTGTGGTGAGAAGTAAACAGGATAATGAAAATGAACATTTTTATCATATAGCTGGCACAGTCACACTAGGTGGCCCAGGCATGCCTTAAATCATGATGAGGTGGGGCTGTTGATGGCTTAGTGTGAGGTGCAGTCTTTGTCTTGAAGTTGCTTACAGCCTGGTAGGGAAAGATGGGCACCTACTGTCCTGATGGGTTCCATCCATAGCAGAAGTCTGAAGAAATGAAGGGCAGAGCTGTTCTACACACTTTGTGTACAATGGGAGGTGACTTCACATGATCTGTGGCCTTACCCCGTTTTATAGATGAGGAAACTGAAGTGGATAATTGGGATTTTTCAAGGCCTCTGAACTACTGAGGCTCAGGCTACATTAGGCTAGCAGACACCAAACTCCAGAATTATTTTAGAAAACCCATGTTTGGGCCTGTAGCAGAGCCTCCTCCCCCTCCCACTATGTTAACACTGTAGGGCGATAGAGATCCTCTCAGTTCTATAGGCTGTTAAGAAGTAGAGCCTGGAGGCTGGGAAAGTGGCTCAATGGAAGAGCGCTTGCCTTGCATACATGAGGCCCTGGGTTCAATTCCTCAGCACCACATAAGCAAAAAGAAAAATCTGGAAGTAGCGCTGTGGCTCAAGTAGTAGAGCGCTAGCCTTGAGCTGAAGAGCTGAGGGACTGCACCCAGGCCCAGAGTTCAGGCCCCACGACCAGACCAGACCCCCCCCCAAAAAAAAAAAAAAAAAAGATGTAGAGCCTGGGGCTTCCAGAGTCACCTCCAGGTGCTATTTACTCCTTTATACCATTCAAGTAAATATTTGTAATATATGTTGAAATGTATGTAAAACAATAAAATAGAGGAGTTGATGCTCAGCAAAATCCTTTCTGGTAGCACTGATCGTCTTGACATTGTCAAAGTCCATCTCAAATGTCAGTTCTCTTGTGAAGCTTTTGTGAAGCAGTAGAGTTGTATGTTGTAAATAGGCTAGTATTATTAACTTCATTTTATAGATGACAAGATAAAGATATAGCAAGATTAAGTGGCTTAGATAGCTGGGACTTGAGTCCAAACTGGCACAAACTGTGGACCTTTTTTTTTTTTTTTGTCAGTTTGGGGCTTGAACTCAGAGCCTGGGTGTTGTGCCTGAGCTCTTTTGTTCAAGGCTAGCACTCTGTCACTCTGAGCCACAGTGCCACTTCTAGTTTTCTGGTGGTTAATTGGAGATAAGATTCTCATAGACTTTCCTGCCTGGACTGGCTTTTTACCTTGACCCTCAGATCTCAACCTCCTGGGAAGCTAGGATTACAGGTATGAGCCACCAGTGTCTGGCAGATGTAGGTTTTTGTTTTTGTTTGTTTTAATTTTTTTTTTTTTGTTAGTCATGGGGCTTGAACTCTGGGCCTGGGCACTGTTCCTCAGCTCTTGTGCTCAAGGCTAGAGCTCTACCACTTGAGCCACAGTGACACTTCGAATTTTCTGAGTGATTTATTGGAGATAAGAGTCTCACAGACTTTTGTGCCTGGGCTGGTTTTGAACTGTGATCCTCAGATCTCAGCCTCCTGAGTAGCTAGGATTACAGGCGTGAGCCACCGGCACCCAGTGGATGGGTTTTTTAAAGGACCTAGTGCCTCTCTGCATTTTATAAGTTAAGATGGTCTTCAAACCCATCATTTTTTTGGTCGCTTGAGTGCTGTCCCTCAGCCCTTCAACTCAAGGTAAGCTCTCTACCATTTGAGCCACAGCGCCACTTCTGGTTTTCTAGTGGTTTGTTGGAGATAAGAGTCTCACAGACTTTCCTGCCCAGGCTGGCTTTGAACCTTGATTCTCAGATCTCAGCCTCCTGGGTAGCTAGGATTACAGGCATGAGCCACTGGCGCCCAGCTAAACCCATCATTTTTATTCGAATAAGTTACTGTCTCTAACCCTGTCATACCAGCTAAATATTTACTTCTTCCTTAATCTTTCTTATGTTTTGAGGGAGACAGTTGGTTTTGGTTTCTCTGTAATGCAACAGTATTTAGCACAGTGCCTATTACACAGTTAAAGTATAGGTTAGGAGTTAAATTGTGGTTTCTGAAACCATTTTCATGTGCGAGTAAAAGATCTAAATAGCACTCTATTATGATTGACAATCCCAGTGTTAATTTGTGCTTTCCAGCAAGGTTGCCACTTGCTACCTGTGGCTATTGAATACTTAGAATGTGCGATTAAGGAACTAAAGTTTTAAATGAACTCAGTTGAAAATTCAGCTCACAAATGTTACTTGCTCCAAGTCAAGTGTTCAATATCCACAAATGCTGGTGGCTTCCATACTGGGCACTGCAGAGCTGGGAAATTCTTTGCCAAACATTGAGGCGTCTTCCGCTAATATCCATACTTCATTTTCTCATGGATTGACGGTGCTCCCATATTAAAATGGGAACTGGCCAACCCTTTAGATTCTCAACCACCCTGAGTCTTTAAAAGTGGACATCAGTATCTGATGAAATCATTTTTCTTATCCTTGGTGTTCACAGACTTGCTGAGATACCAACAAAATAGGAGATTTACAAAAATTACTTTTTCTCACTTCAATTAGTACTTTCTTCTGTTCCTGATGTGTCATTTTCTAGGAATTATTCTTAATTTATCTGTTTAGGCACCAAAGAACTTCTCCCCTTTATAGAAACTTTGGTGTTCAGTTCTCTTATCTTAGATGACTAATTTTTAATGGAGTTTTGTATTGTAGCCTAAATTTAAGTAAATAGGCCTTTTCCCCTCTTTAGATCTTTTTCAGGACATCAAAACCAACCAAATAAGTGAAAACTTTTGATTAGCTAGTTGATTTAATTTTGCACAACAACTAGTTCTACCAGTTTGGATGGGCGTACGTAGGGCCTAGAAGGATCTGTTTTGTCATATAGTCACCCAGTATTGATTACACAGGTTGTGTGTGTATCTGTTGATTGTGCACTTCAGTGCTCCAGGGCTCTGGCCTATCCTCTTTACCTACAGGGTGCTTATGTTGCAGATGGTGAGAGTGAAAGGAGGTGGTTTTTATTTTAAATAAAACCAATTGAGCTTGGAAATGTTGATAATTGGCATGAAAACCATGACTGTCCAATCTCTTAGATATCATATGATACTGAAAATGTATTGGGCCTTTTATTTTTTTGGTCAGTCATGGGGCCTGAACTCTGGGCCTGGGCACTGTCCCTCAGCTCTTCAGCTCAAGACTAGTGCTCTACCATGTGAGTCACAGTGCCATTTCTGGCTTTTTCTGCTTATGTGGTGCTGAGGAATCGAACCCAGGGTCTAGTGTATGCAAGGCAAGCACTCTACCACTGAGCCACCTTCCCAGCCCCTGGGTTTGTTTTTTGTTTTCGGTTATTTTTGTATATAGAGTCTCACTTTTTGTCCAGGGTAGGTCTTAGACTGCCATCCTCCTACCTGTGGCCTCCTTTGAAGCTGGGACCAAAGCCAGGGAGGTGCCGTCACAGCTGGCTTTTTGGATGAGATAGGGGTATCTCTAGTTTTATGAACAAGCTTGCCTTGAATTTTGATGCTCTTGATCTCACCCAAGTAGTATGTGAGCCCCACTAGTCTAGCAAATGTATGGTGTCTTAAGTGTTGTTATTTATTTATTTATTTTTTGTCTTGAACTCTGGGCCTGGGCGCTGTCCTTCAGCTCAAGGCGAGCACTCTACCACTTGAGCCACAGTGCCACTTCCGGTTTTATGGTGGTTAATTGGAGATAAGAGTCTCACTGGCTTTTCTGCCCAGCTTTGAACCGTGATCCTCAGATCTCAGTCTCCTGAGTAGCTAGGATTATAGGTATGAGTCACCAGCACCTGGCAAATGTTATTTTTTTATTTGTTTTTATGATACGATGGAATTGGTCACTTCATTTACTGTGATTTCAAGCAACGTTTACTTAAAAAAAAAGTCTTAGCTGGGTACTGGTGGTTCATGCCTGTAATCCTAGATACTCAAGAGGCTGAGATCTGTGAATGATAGTTCAAAGCCAGCCTAGGTAGGGAAATCTGGAGGCACTTATCTCCAGTTAACCACCAGAAAACCAGAAGTGGCGCTGTGGTTCAAAGTGGTAGAGTGCTAGCCTTGAGCAAAAAAAAGAGCTCAGGGACAGCAGCCAGGCCCTGAATTCTGACTAAAAAAAAAAAGTCTTTGCCAGAATGATACCTTTGTCCTGCCTTTGAATAATAATTGGAATAGTAAAGGTGGCTCCAGTTTTCCATTATTATTAGTTTGTCATAAAAACTAGGTTATTACTAGAAGTTAATATAATTTAACATAACCATATTTAATTTTGTGAACATTTAAAGACATACTTTATCATATACTTTAAAAAAATCTTGTTTTTAACTTGGATTCTTCTCTTGTGGCTGTATTTTAAAATGTCAGATCTTATGCTTGCCTGTAAAAATTTTTGTATGCTATGTGAATTTAAAAAGAAAAACAAATGGTTTCTAAGAGCAATAAAACAAGGTCTAGTTATTCAGGCGTGTGAAAGTTGGCATAGAGCCTATTCGAGTTTTTCAGATAATTTAGGATTGGAGAAAACTTAGTGTCTTGAAATATCTAATTACGTTTTTACTTATTTAAGAAGAAAACTATAACTAAAATGGTAGTGGTGTAACTTTACAGTTGAGAAGTACTATGCATGAAAGTCAGGGAATTAGTGATGTTCCCCCAGCAACTGTAACTCAGACTTACTGCCTGAAGTTTTGATGGTTTAAAATATGATACCATACAGAGTAATAGGAAATACTACATTTTGTATGTATAATAAAGAAGAATTATGGTTTTTGTGGGAACCATAATTTTGCATATCCAGGCTCAGGTGTGTGTAAATTTTCAATAATAATATAGCATTGATGCATATTTGTATTTGAGATGAGTATCTGTTGGTACATTCAGAGATTTCTGCTGTATTGGTATTGTTGACTGACTGTGGTTATTGGAGTACTAAAGAGAAATTGTCAGTTTAGACTATAAATTATAAGAATCTTAAAAAAAATGAAATATAACTCTTATCTGGAATATTTGATAATTAAGAATGCATTAGAAATATTCACTGTTGCAACATGAGGCATGAAAGTCTTGGATTTAACATTAATATTGGCTCTCTTATAGTAATTTTCATTTAGGATTTTTTTTTCCCAGAACTGTGGTTTGAATTTGGGGTCTTGCACTGACACACTGCGCTTGGCACTCTACTATTTGAGCCATGTTCTATGCCTTTTTGCCTTTTCTTCACCATTGGTGCTGGTGTTTGAATCCCAGCCTTGAGCTCACTGGGCAGGCCCTATACCATTCAATAGACAAGCACTGTACCAACTTGAGCTATGCCCCCAGTCTAGTTACATTTCAAATAGAATCTCAAGCTTATGGACTTCTGTCTTACATTTCTGTGTAGCTGAATGACAGGAGTACAACACCCTCTCCACCAGCTTTTATTAGTTGAGATGGGGTCTAGAGTTCTCTGAACTATAATGATTTAAATCAACCTCTTGAGTAACTAAGATTGCAATCATGAGCTGCCTTACCTGATGTGAAATTTCCTCCTCCTCCTCCCCTTCTCCTCCTCCTCCTCTTCATTCTTTCTTCCTTCTTCCTTATTTTTGTATTTGTCAATTTTATAGGTTAAAACAATGGAAAGACATTAACCTGTTTTTTCCCCTTTTCTCTCTTGAAATTGTATTCCTAAACTTGCCCTGTCAGAGACCTTCAGGAGTTCCATACATGGTTTTGTTTAAACGTTTCTACTTGGTCACAAGTAGATAATGTTTATCTTAATGTTCTTCAAGAACACCCTAACACATAAGAATTGTGAATTAAGAATTTCTGTGGTATAAGTTAAATTATTTTTTCTCTTTTTTTTCCAGCCAAATCAAACAGGAAGCTTACTTTTCTGTACTTAGCAAATGATGTCATCCAAAACAGTAAAAGGAAAGGACCTGAGTTCACTAGAGAATTTGAATCTGTTCTTGTGGATGCATTTTCTCATGTTGCCAGGTATGTTGTATCTTTTTGTTTTGTTTCTCATTCACTTTCCCTTTTTCCTGGTAGTCTTTATAAATTGGCAACTTTGTACTTACGAGAGTGTTGTGAAATCCAAACCATGGTTTTAAGTTTTGTTGGGCCCTTAAGAAAATCTTAGGCATATAAATGTTATGGTGCATTAAAGAGATTCAGCTATGTATTTTTTGAGTGTAGTTTTTTTGTTTGGCTTGGCTGAGTTGTCTCATTAGCTTATGATCAAAAAGCTAAGTAGTATGTAGGGGAAATTAGTTACTTATGCTTCTTGTTTACTTCCTCCTGAATATGTACTTGTCTGGTTTACTAAAAATAGTGTCACATCTGTAACGGCAAAACTGTAATTAGTAGTGTGGGAAAGTAGACATTCTGCTACAATTGTGTGTTGTGCCAGAGAGGCCACACGCACAGCTGATATAGAAAAAATGTATTTTATCAGTCTTAGGAATCACTGTTTATTGTAAAACAACAGCATTCTGTAGGTACCAGATAGGGTCCCAGTAAGGCAAGGAAAAACTACTTTTTTTTTATCTTTTTTTTTTTTTTTGTCGGTCGTGGGGCTTGAACTCTGGGCCTGGGC